CATTTTTTTTAAAAAAAATGCAGTAATTTGGCAGTAATGCTAGGGTAATCTAGGCTAACATATTAGCAGGGCATTTTAGCACACAAATAATTCATTAAATCCAAAAATCCAATCAGATACACTGATGGTAGAAGAGCTACTCTTTCAGTATGTTCCAAGAAGAATGAATATACAACCCTTAGTTTATGTCAACAATGAATTATGGACAAATGTGTTAAGAATGGTTTACTCCAATAGCAGCTATGAAAACTATCAATATAATCAAGTAGGTCCTGAACAAAAGATAAACTGCTGGTATTTCAGTGCCCTAGCAACTACTTAAGGCATTTTTGGCTATTCGGAAAAAACTGCTCTCCTTAAAAAATAACAGGAAGTAGCCAGAACCAGATGTCAATAACGCAACACAATATGAATGCTATTCGACAGCAAAGGTTCAGGAAGAAAAAGTGCTTGGAAATATAGATAGCCTCATAATTCAAATTCCAAATCACCATATCAGGAAATTATAATTTAGATACATTATCTAAATAATCAAATGAAACACAAGCATCGGTAACAGTCAGGACATCTGTGATATTTTTTATCCCCAATTTCTTAAAACCGGCTTTGCAATTTACTACAAATTCAAATAAATTTAGTAAAATTCTTACTGGCATCTGCAGGCCTTAAATGGTCAGTATCACATGTGAAAAATGTTTGATGATCTTGCGCTGAAAGATTCATATCATAGTATGTCAATGGTTCTCTTCCAGTCACCCAGGTGTATCTGCAAATAGACTTGTGTTATGTACCTTCAGAACAGATAGGCAGGATGAGAAATAGTAGAAGTAAACCTCATACAATCATAATGCGGTGATTTTTTTTTATGCTTCTCTTTCCTTTGGGGAGAAAATGTACCTCTACACACTTCATCCTTCTTAATATAGCAACCTCTATCTACAAATTCAACGATGGCACTAAAAAGTGAATTTTGGAAAGAATTTTAATCGCTTTAAGTTGAAGAAAAATTGAGAAGTCATTGAATTATTGTCCTATGGTGATATAGTTGATATATACTGGAACATTTTTAATAAACTGAAACTGAAATAAATTAAGGAATTTTGAAGGCAGGCTTAACTGGTCTAAAAAAGTCCTGGATGTACTGTATCTCAGCTCCAGAACATCTGTTTTGATTGTCTTAAGGGAGCTACTCTATACATCACTGTATTATTTTCAGGAAAAACAGCTTCTGATTTGGGAGGGGAGGGGAGCCAATGTTTGAAGTACTCAAATTCAAATTCCTATTCAGTCATGAAGCTCATTGGGTGTCTTTCAGCTTACCCTCTCAGCCTGATCTAGCTTACAGAGTTGTTATTGTAAGAATTAAAATGACAGATAAGCCTATCTACATTGCCCTGGGAGTGCTTAAAGAAAAAGCAGGATATAAATGTAAATTTTTTTAAAAAAATAATCAAATACTGTTGTTAATGAGATCCTTGATCTAGACCAGTGTTTCTCAATCTTGGAAACTGGAAGATGTGTGGACTTCAACTCCCAGAATTCTGGGAGTTGAAATCCACACATCTTCAAGTTGCCAAGGTTGTGAAACATTGATCTAGACTGATGAAGATACTAAAAGAAATTTACACATTAACACTGCTTGGATGAAACAGTAGTTCTGTTCAGGCATTCATCATCCTTGAGATTAAAACAATCTGGAGGAGAGCAAGACCAACCTTACCTGATCTCTCTCCCATTATAGATTCATGTACTTCAGGACCATTATTCTTGGTATGTTAAAGAGGAAACTTCTGCAGACGAATCTGTCTTCTTGTCCAGTTTGCCTATATCTTTTAGAACCTAAGTCTAAACCATGCAGGGTACTTATATATGTCCTTATGTTGGAGGATGAACACTTGAAACACTTGAAGGGTAGCTTCAAGTGTTCATCCTCCAACATAAGGACAAAGAGGGAGTGTGTGGATCCAAAGACCATAATTATCCTTATCTGAACTATTCTCATAAGATAAACATCTGAAAGGGGCACCTGACTTTTTGAGGTTTACAGTGACAATGAACTAGAGCTTAAAAATACTTTCCAAACAGGCTAGCATATTTGAATAACAAATCTACATAGCACTCACCGGTTATATTCAGCTCCTCTAAACAGATTTAGGGGATTTCGCCAGACTTTGCATTCTGTCACAATAAACAAAAATGCTTCTAATTATAATTGAATGCTAATGTTTATTTGGAAACAAATTATATTCTAATTAGTTTTCCCAGGTGGTGCATCCCAAACATTGAAGTAGAAAACCAAGGGGATAAAATGTATTTACTATGAATTGGTCACACCTAGGGGCTTACACTTAACACATTATGTTTCATATGTATTGTAACCATCTCTGTGTTGATGAATTATTGGTGCGTACAGAAACAAATAAAGATGAAGGCTTTCCAGTACTGCAAAACCACTAATAGATCAAACTCGTTCATTCAGTGAGTTATAAACCCTTCCAATAAACATTTTTTTAAAAAAAGAAAAGCAAACAGAAACATGTACCAATATAGTTTCAGAATGATTCTCATATATTTTAGATGAGAATAAAAAGGTGATTTGTAAACAAAACAAACATTGCATAGATAATGTCCTGGAGCAAACTGACTGAACTGAAAGGAACCATCCTTTGAAAGCTCTTTTCAGTTACAACTTTTATGTTGTAAATGATTTCATTCTACATTAGACACTCATCAACTGTGATTTACTGCCACAATTCAACCTGAGGGCATTAACAGAGGCAAGTGGATTCACATGTGAGGTTACAAATCAGAATTGCTCAGATATTTATTTTAGTCCCGTTGGGCCCATTTATTTCTGTAGTAAAATTACACTAACTAGTTAACATTATAGATCAGTAAAATAATACAAGTCTACTTTTTTGAATCTTCCTCTGTTATTACATAATCAAATCAAATCCATCAGCTTCTGACCTTGGAGAAGATAGAATAAAACAAGTATTTAAAAGACCCATTAATAATGATCACATTCACAAGAAAAGGAGAAATGAAGTGTTGGAGTGCAGAGAAGACCACAGGATCTGAGATCTTTTTCAAAATGGTTCCTTGGTTCTATTTGTAGCTTGCTTTATTCTGACACAGCAAGCAGTAAAGCTATGCAAGAATTTGAGTAGAAAACTTAAAGTTAAAGCATTATTTTTTCTTTAGGTTAAGAGGAAAGGATCTCAGAAGATATAAAACAAAGAAAATATCCCTTGGAATTGAGCTTGACTTTTGGTAAGTAGAGAGAAGTATAGTTTTCTTGGGAATACTATGGCAGTGGTTTGCCATTTCCAAGATTAAAAAATAATAATAATAAAACAACTTTTTAAAACTTCCCAGCCCCAACTACATCCCTGGGATTTTCTTGTGATCTCTCACCAAGGTTGATTAGGTTTTGCCACTTGAACTGGGCAAATCAGTTACAAGAAATAACAACGCTTTCCCAAATACATCAACCATCACAAATGGTAAAGAATAAGCAGTGATTTGCCCAGTCTGCAGAAAGGACTTGTAAGTTAACTTGTAAGCCAAAAATATTAATTATTTTGGCTTACATTTAATTATTAATAATGGTTAAATTACATTATTAAACTATTATAATTATTAAACTATAATTATTTCACCTGAAACACTCTGTCGGTTTGAATCTGAGTCCCCATTGCTTGTATTTGAATTGCTCGGTGAGTTGTTGTCCACCCCACCCAGCAGAGGGCGCAAGTGACTCACAGAGACTTGTTCAATGAAGGACGTTCCGTATTTCCGAAAATACCACCATTCAAATATCTAAACCAGATGGAAAAACACTTATTAGGCTTTTTTTAACTGACAATTTCTACTTCCATTTGCATTTACAAAATGTAAACATAATACTGAAATATATTTTGGATGAAATATTATTTATGATTTATACAGTGCCATATGGTATCTTGGAGTTCTTATATAATAAAACAGACAAGAGGAAAAAATGGGCAGAAAGACTGACAGGGAATGTGGACACACAAAATTATGGGTACTTTAAACATTTGAACGGGAAGCACTGAAGGGATTAGTTAACCAATCAGACGAGAAATGTATCTTTTGGGTAAAATATGAGTTCAACACACAGGGAGGGGACTAAAAAGGAAAACTAATGAGCTATGGGACAATAGGTTGTTCCGAGTAGGAAGTTAGCTTATTCCATCTCTGTATTTCTATGTCAGAGAATTCAACCATCCTAATTCTATTTCAGCTCAAAACTCCACTTATACCAAGGGAAAGCTTCACATAGGTAAATCTACACCCAGCAGTGTTCCCACAAGTGAGAAGCCACAAGAACCACCTAAATGAGATGTTCCCACAGATAGGGAAGAAGAGGATTAAGCCAACTTTTAATGCATGGGTTATGTTCCAGCTGTCAGGAAATCAAGGGACAGGCTAGGTCTCTATCCCACACCTCCCTACTGGAATGTAAGACCACTGGCCTTTTCCTCTTCTGGGCTGGTGCTCATTGGCAAAACAAATAGAAGTAGGGGAATTATCAACACATACACACAATTATTACTGCACTGTAATAGCCCTTCCAGCAACTGGTGATGGTAGAGTGGAGATAAGAGGTGGAGATACAATAATAAATAGAAGCTGACTGTTAAGCAAATTCACAAAAGCTTCAATATATAATTTCCAAGAACTTGTACTCAATATGGCAGGGATGAAAAGCCACTTTTCAATTAGTGTTAATAATTTCATAAAAGCTACCATTGTTTAAAAGACAGGCACACTGATATTTTAAAGAGACAATGAGTCATTTATTTTTTATTACACATTTGCAATAGGAAATATACCCAGAGCAGAGAAGTAATGGAATCAACCACCTGCACCTGATTTATTGCTCTCTATGTAAACTAGCTTCCTTCAATTTGATGGCTACCCTCTAGAGAGGTTGAGACCACAACTCCCAGTTATTCAGCATCTGGCAGACGCAGGGTATTAATGAAGCATTATTAAATAGATCAGAATTTGTTTTAAGAATGTTACAGCGATAATAACATAGTTGCCACAATGATGGACCCAGAAGGAAAAAGTCAATAAAAATGTAACAAAATAATAAGACTGACCCCACCAGTTGTTTCCCCATGCCCTTTCACTGCAGCAATATCCTTTAAAATGAAATTAATTGCATTTTATATATACCTGGCAAGATACAAGATACTTTAAAGTATTCATTCCCTTACTTCTTTGCTGTTGGTTCTAAGGTTAAAACTTGTATCTAAAGACAAAATACTAATTCTGAAGGTTAATGTTTCATTGTTGGAATTACTGCTTTTTTTCTCTCTCTTACAAGACTCAGATCATTGGTCTGAAAACTTTTGTTTTTTTGCCTCTGATCGTATACCCTGAGATAAAATTAGTTCATGGAATACCCAAGATACATTCATTAGGAAAGTAATGATTCCTTTATTGCTTGAAAACAACAGTCTCTGAACCTCTTTGGTAGACATGGTTATTCTTCCGAGATCTGTTTGGTGAACGAGCACTAAGTATCTTGAGGGACTAAAGAGAGCTTGCAAGACATAGACAAAACAGCCGTGTTTGTATATCCTCTGGGTATATGTTGGAATCATCTATGTCTTTTCTTTCTGTTACATTAACAGTGAGTTTGGAATACTTTGCTGGTTTTAGTTTGGATTCTTCTGACCAATTATTAAATAAGTTATTTATTTAAGGGAAAGAAAAATTAGAAAGGGGCTTATCAAGAAACCAAATTTAGAAAAGCCAATCCATAGGTTTAATTCAGAAAGTAACACATCTTAAGAGTTATTTCAGTATTCTGGGTTAACCCACACACTTCCTTTTACTAAGCCTGTTTAAACGGATAAAAACAATGGAGAGATAAGTTACACTAATATCAAAAACAGTGAAACAAAAATGAGGAGTGAACACTCTGTTCCTGGGCTTGTCATAATCTCAAAAAGCTCCTGTTTCAAAATGTATTGAGTTAATATTACTGCTTTTGGAGAAAATATCCTATTCAATTCACTTACGGGAACCATGGACACGTTCGTCAGTCTTTTTTGTTAGCCCTGACCTAGACCGGGATAATAAAGTTCAGGAAAAATTGGTTCATAAGACTCAGAACCAGGTCAAATTAGGTATTTGACTAAGCTTCTGCATCACACAGAAATTAGTTTTATTTGACAGCAACAGGGCAGAACTAACCAAGTTAGGACAGAGATAAGGAAGATGAAGCTACTGAAGTCAAAGTACATCCAAAATCCATAAGGTGGTTTACTTCATGTGTAATTGCCCCCCCGTACCCCTACCCATTTTTTAAATGATTTTTTTTTTTACCAAAAAAAAAAAAAAAAAGCATCCGGAAACTAAGATTGCATAGTACAGGTAGTCCTTGAGTTACAATGGCAATTGGGACCAGAATTGTGATTGTTAAGCAATGTGGTCATAATGCACAATGTCACATGACTGCATTGCTCAGCAACAGTAATCCCTGCAGTCCCTGTTGCTGTCATTAAGTGAGCACTTTCTCGCAACTTCCTGCCAACTTCCAACAACCAAAGTCAGTGGGGAAGCTGGCAGGAAGTTGCAAGTCCCAGATGGTTTGGAAGCAGGCCGGCAGGCAGGTAAGTGGCTGCTGCTGGGTGGAAGAGGGAACAAGGGGGTGCGTGGGTGGGCAGGGAGGCGTGGCACAAGTGCAGTGGGGCTTGGAGTGGCTGCTGCTGGGCAGGGGAGGGTGCACGAGTGGCTGGAGAGGCATGGCACAAGCACAGTGAGGCTCAGGGAGGGTGCGCAGGTGGGGGAGACTTGCCTAAGTAACTTTCCCATTGACTTTGCTTGTGGGAAACTGGCAGGGAAGATCACAAATCATGATCACATGACCATGGCATGCTGCAACCATTATAAGTGCAAGCCAGCTGCCAAGCACCCAGACCACCATCACGTGACCATGGGGGTGCTGGGACAGCTGGAACTTTGAGGACCGATCATAACCACTCGTTCAGTGCCGTTTTAACTTAGAATAGTTGCTGAATGAATGGTTGTTAACCGAGGACTACCTGTAATGTGAGCTGGGAACTTTGCTCAAAGGTCAGGTGGATTATTCAAAGAAAGGTTGGCCTAAAATGGAAATGTTTCAGCTCCTGTTTTGTAGTTCCCTCTATGTAAGTTCTCTTTTCCAGGCCAGAAATTCAAGACCCAATGACATTGCAGTCGGAATGTTTCAACACTAAGCAAAATGAGCTTTTCCTTCATTATATAATTTTTTATGAGCATGCAGAAAATTTAGTGAGTTAGATTTTTTTTAAAAAGGATGCTGTACATTGGAATTATTTTACTTTTTTTTTTTTTGGCTGTATTTTGTCTAAGCCTGTGGCAGTGAATGCAGTGCTGTCTAACTTTACCTAGTGTTTCCATAAAACTAGGATTAATTTCCTAGTAGGACTACTAATACTACTAAAAAAAATCCTCCCACACTTGTTTGGTAGAGGACAGGGCATCTCTTATAGCCTAAGACAATTCCTGTACTTTTACAACTCCAACCTTTTACTTCTTTTAACTGTGATAAAAAGCTGTCCAGTTTTGCCTACAGATAGTTCTGCTTCAGATAGGGAGAAAAGCTGGCTCTCAATACAAGGTATCTCTTTTAACAATACAAAAGCTTAGCACTTTTTTAGTACCATGGCTACAGCACTAAACGTAAGATTGGAGTACTGAATATACACAACCTGTTACAGCTAATTGCATGGATACAGTACTGTACAGTATAAAACTTACAAGCATTTATTGCATGGACACAGTGCATAAATTTCAGATATTTAAGAAAAGAGATCAAAGGATGCTGCAAACAAGCATATGCATTAATGAGTTTAATAAGGACTAAATAGTTCAACTGCACTGTCAGAGGTATGGTTAAAGAACAGCTTGCTTTAACTTCATTGTGATGCACTCTTAACGCCTCACTTTAGTTGTCAGTTGCATGGTTGGTAAGCATATGCAGTGACATCTTATACCCACTTACCCTGGAGAAAATTTCAGTTCACTTAGACTTACTGTGAAGCAGGCATGCATAGGATTGTACTGAAAATGGTAGAAAATCTCCATTGTGCTTTTAAGGCACATACAGTGCATTCGGAAAGTATTCAGACCCCCTTCATTTTTTCAATTTTGTTATGTT